TTACCCTGTTGTGGTTTTATGAATTGAGGCATTCTCAGACAAAAAGAGGAAAATATTAGACTCAAAGGACTTATAATGCAAATTTTTTACTTCCAGTTTGGAGCTTGATGAAGAAAAAGAAGAAATCCCTTCCAAATTCTTGGTCGATTATTAATGAGTTGGGTTTTTTAATTTATATATTTAAAATTGGGGCTTAATAGTTATGGGGCAAAATGCAACAAAGATAAACCCAGTGTGAAAGATCAGAAGCTGAAGCATTGCTTTCTCTTGCCTTTCCTTTTACTTCTTAAAGAATCTTCCAGGTTACCTCTGTTTTAAAGGAACTATCCCTATGCATGGTGTGGGAAGAGGAGTAATTATTTATCACTACTAATTATTAATTATTTTGCAGTAGTAATTATTTTTCATCAATTCACCTTGCTTTTCTCTTCAAATTAAGAGTATTTTTTAATTTTGTATTTTTAATTTGAAACCCAGAGAAAACTTGTCTTTTTTTTTAATATTGTAAATTACCTGGCATTGGAATTTTACTGCTCTGCAGCATATTTATTCAACTATTGCAACTGCTTCTGAAAAAGGGAGTGATTGGCTAACAAATGTGTAAGATTCAGCTTCTTAAAACCTTCAAGAAGAACTAGCTGTTTTTGAACAGAAAGCTGCTGGAATCCTTTGTGAGTACATGAGAGAACGGTTAAATAAAATGTCAGCCTACTACATTTACTAAGTTTTTAGGTGAAAATCTAGACATTTATGGTTTTATGGTAGTTCCATCAAATTTTAAATCCAGACACTTCCAAACGTGAAGACAGTGTCTCTATTTTGAATAGTGAGATGTTATTCAATGGAAGCTGCTACTATTAATTAAAATCTTAATTATTGAAAGACTGTTTCTACCAAAGGCAGTTTTAATTTTATGCTTAATGTTGTAGAGTGAAAATGTTACTAGTTTTAAAATTAACCCCGTTGTTAGAAAATAAAGGACGTTTATCTCAATCATGTACTAATGGTGATACAGATTTCTCTTATTCTGAGAGACAATTTTTCCTAAACTCTTTCACATCTATTTTAAAACATGTCTGACATAGTGAAAGCTTCTGGAAGATCGGTATTTATCAGCAAAGTGGTGCAGTGAGGGCAACATTCAGGGTTAACTTTCTGGCACAGATCTATAAAAGAAGGCAGTATGATTACAGAAGCTGTAAAGCTGGCCCAGTGCTTTGAGAAACTGGTTCTTTGCTTGACACTGGGAATCTTTTTTATTGCCCATTACAAAGAATGACTTTTGTTGTTTTCTAATTTCTAAGGCCTACAGGATTATAGAAATAATTTCATAATTTTTCCCATACATGAAACACTGTTCTACATCCGATTTCTAGTGATGCATATGCAGTGTCACACCAAACATATTAAAAAAAAAAAAAGTCTTCTTTATTTATGCTTTATTTTATTTTTGAAGATGGCAGAGAACACAAAGAAGAAATTGTTACTTGCATTTCTACTTTCAAAATGCTTCAAAGAAGCATAAAACAAAGGCTTTGGAATACAGTTTTCTTTACTTTCATTGTAAATCATATTCACAGAGTAGTCTTTTTTGTTTTTCCCCTTAGTCTTGTAATCACTTTGTTTATTATGGCAAAATAAGTATTTTCATACTTTGATCTATTCCTTTCCTTTTTGTGTTTTCTGGGACAGAAGTAGAAGAACGGCCAGTCAAGAAGGAGAAATCATCATATTGAAAAGAACAACATGATTTAATTGTTGTCAATTCATGGGCATTAAAATTCAGATACATTGTGAAATACAAGATAATGACAGAGAACGTGAACTGATTCTAGTGATAGAATGTTCTCTTATGAACAGAAAATAGCACAGACTTTTATCCAGTTCTTAAGCTGCTTTTTAAAGTTTTTATCCAAGCACCTAGCTAGCTTAGTTGAAAATAAGAAAATATCTTGACATTTGACATTATAAAAGGAAATGGAGTCAGTAGCTGTAAAAAATAAATATAATTCGTGTCTTTTTGCCTGTTTGTGCCCACTTCTCCAGTAATCATACACTTTTTATGGTTTTTATACCTGTTTACATTAGAACTACTTATTTTCTTAATACAAATGTATTTTCTTCAAACTATCCAATTAACTGTATCTGTTATAATAATACGTAATGTTGTATATCAATATATAGACCTAAATCTATCTTGATCCCAAATTAGACTATTGGGCTTTTCATAAGTAACACGATGAACGTAAATTCACGTACTGCGACTCCATTACATGAACATATGATTCCTAGCAAGCAATATCTTCAATGCGAACTTACAGGCATAATTGAGTGATAAATTTGGCCATCTGTGATCATATTCCAGCTCAGCATCTCTCTAGAGACCTTATTCCTTGTTGCCCTGCGGCCTCTTTGTGTTGCCAAGCTGGGAGCTCAGGAGCTTTCCCTGGAGCTGAGGGATCACCTGGGTGGTGCAGAGCCTGCTCAGCCACCGGCCCGGGGAACGGGTGATGCTCAAAGCAAGGGTGGGTTGGGGGGACGCTACACCTGGGCTGTCACAGTGGCAGCCCAAAGATATGGACACAGAAGGCATAAGCTAGCGCAAGCCTGAGATTGCTGTGATTTAGGACCTGACCAGCTATCTCCAGAGCATTGCAAAGTTGGTGAAAGGCTGAATTCGCCTTTCCCGCAGTGCCTTTGGTCTAGCAGTGAGGGCACTTTAGCCAGCCCCACGAGTGGGTTGGATGTATACATTTTTTATGCAGGCAAAATATAATCCCCAGTCCTGCAAAAAAAAGATGTGTCTGGGTGAAACCCTGCGAAGGATTTCCCTGGAGAGGTAAAAAAAAAAATAATAATAAAAATTAATGAGGGTCTCTTCACCTCTGTGCAATAGGAAAACCATGCCACCTCCTCCAGATCTAGTAGATCTTTGGGGAGGATAGACCCAGCTGTGTAAAACATTTGCCTCTTTACAGCAGCTCTGGATCTAGCTGGGGTAACAACTGGAATATTCCCTTTAGCTTTTCCCATCCCACAACCTTCCTGTCCAAACTTCAGAAAATACTATGACAGAGTCTGCCCCTTTCCCCATGTTTCTGAAGGTTGGATAGGGGAATAACATCTATTCCTCTTGGTCATGGTCCAGTCTTGCATACCCCATTCCTTATTCCTTATCCTGTATGGATATTTTCCATTTCTCTTTCCATTTCCATTTTTTCTCCAAAGGGTTCAGAAAAGATTCTGAATGGCCTGACAAAAATGTGTGAAATGGATACTGATTTAAAAAAAAATGGCTGTTTGGAAAAGATCACATGGGTTTAAGGGCTTGACCTGTCATAAATCTCTATTCATAGCTAAGTGACAGAGTTGCAAGAAAATCCAATTCCTAGTGGATTAAAAAAAAAAAAAAAAGAGGGAGGTTTTGGCACGAAGATTGCTTCACCTGTATAGTATGAGCAAACATCCACAGAAGATGGAAATATCTTCAGAAGGATGGAAATTTGCCTTTGAGCTTTGATGGGAATGAACTCCAATGTATCACCCCTTACACTATGGTATCTTTCCACTACACTCCTACCATATATTGTTCCTAGTTTGTTCACAGAGTTTTAAAACAGGACCACAACCACTCCGGGAAAGAGATTTATTTACTCATGTCCATGGGAAAACAACTACATCAAACTATTCAAGAAAGCATACCACTTGTGTCCTACTTGGATAAATACCACTATTATCTCATTTAGATAAGGAAACAACGGGAAGCTATAAAACTTTGCGTAATACAAATATTGGTCCTCTGAAATCTTCATAGTCAGCAAGCGTAGAGTAGGAAAAAAGAGTTCTCCATTTTTAAGTGGTAGAACAAATACTGGATAGAGAATGTCAAAACTGCCTAAGAGATTACTCAAGACCAAGATAGTTTTAATCAGTGGCCTCTATATGTTTTTTGGATATCCAGCTTGAGACACCATAAGTGTAGGAAATTTTCAGAAAGCACTGAGCACCCACTCTCTGAAAAACTGGTTGCGTTAAGGTATCTGAAGATGAGCACCAAGAATTGCTGCATCCAAAATGAGTTTGCATCAGAAATCGAAATTCCCTCAAATTGGTATCTAGGGAGGACCTAGGGCTTTAGGCAGCTCTGAAAATCCTAGGCACCATGCACAGTGCATGTTTATCTCTGACACTGGCAGATATAGGTAAACATCTTCTACATAGACCACTGCAGTGAAAAGAAGTATTTCCATACTTTTGTCTGTTAACTCTAAGGAGGATTAACTAAATAACTCAGGGCTAGTGATACTATTTTCTCGTCAATAGTTTAAAAAACAGATGTACTTTTTAGATAAAAATGAGATGTAAGGAAATAAAGTGTGTTTTTTTTTTCTCTTCTAAAGCTTAATAGCTGGTTTCAGATTTTATTTAATAATCTTGTTTTAAGACTTTATCATTTTAATATTTTTTTAATTTTTATTTCTTGTGATGTGTAAATAGGTAAGAAATATTAAATATTGTAATGTTCTTTCATTAAGACAATAACATTTCAAAGGCTAATGTAAAATCAAGCTGCTAAAGTTTACAATTTCTCTGTCCAGCAGTTCATTTATACAACTGCCCTGAGTAGATGCTATATGCTGCTTAGCAAATGGCCTTTAAGAGTTTAAAAATAACTCAGTAAAGCTACTCAAAGGTAATACAACACTTCTCAGGCATCTTTAATTGGCTTTAAGAAGGAAATAGGATTTTCTCATTAGTTAATAATACACTCCCTCATGAATGACTTATACACAACAAAAACACAATTGAAATGTTCAGGAGGACTAATTGTGCTTGTTCCTATGCATGGGACCATGAATTTATTTTTCAGAAAGGCAAGATTTTAAATTGTAAAACTAGTCCTACTTTTGTGGACTGTTTTAGCTGCTTTTATTAAACTCTGTGTTGTTCCCATGTGAAACCAGTGAAAACAGTGAATTTCTAACCTACATTGTTGTGAGGTTTTTTTCTCCAAAACCTCACTGATCCCCTTTAAGAAAAAAGATTATCTTATTTCAAAATTCCTGATATAATCAATTTGCAGTGTTTCTCAAACTGATACAAATATGTAAAGTTTGTGCTTTTATAAGCTTCTGCTTTGAGTAGCCTTACATTCCATAATTGTGCCCTAGCAATCATCAAGCTCTATTGCATGCCCCATTCATGAAAAGTATATTTTGTTGGGATGACATAGCTTAAAAGAATTTGGCTCTAAAACTTCCTTACCTAGAGCTTCCATTAAATTATATTAATTTAAAATATCTATGGAATGATACTTTTACAAAAATATTTAAACAAACAAAAAAAAAAAAGAAAAAAATAAATGGGTTTGGTTTATGAAAATGACTCTTTACAGTAAGTAAAAAAGGTTTATCACAGTTTTGGTAACTTGCATGAGTTCATATCGAAAAGAAATCTTTCACATGTTCTTAATGAATTGAAAAACTTTTGTGCTCTAGGTATTTTCAGTTGTATGCTCTGAAACAGTAGACACCGTACAGCTTGTGCTTTTTATCAGGGAAGCCTACAAAGCGAACCGCTGCTTCGTTAGGACTGCAGCGTTTCCTTGGCCTGGAGATTGGGTAGCGGACACTGCCATCAGCCAGCCAGCCAGCGTCACAGCGGTCGTACCCCTGGAGCTTCCAGGCGGCAAATATCTGGCCAACTTTGGCAATCTGAGCTCCATCCTTCAAGCACGCCTGAACAGCTTCATCGTAGGTCAGCTTGGTCGGGTGAATTAGGTAGTAAAAACGACCTAGTAAGAAAAAGAAGGGAAAAGGGTCATTAGTGACATGATTAAGATGATGTGATATTATAAAGGTGGTGTGAGGAGAAATGGGGATGTTCCACTACAGAATAATATCAAATAATGGTTGATTTGGGGCTGTGAAATTTGTACATTGTGCTGTTAAAAATATCTTATTTATCTGTGTAGTGAGTTGATAAACAGAGGGAGTAAAAAAACCCCCAGAAACCAAACAGACTATTTGAACAAAAAAAGGTAGCATTATATTTATTTCTGCTAACTTAGCACAGCATGGCATCCCCACTCTCACTTGCTTTCAGTGGTAACTGAACTGTTACAATGCATATTCATCCTCAGAGGTAGAAAAACAGCAGGAAAAAAGTTTGGGGAGATGGATGATGGAAGACAGCCTGGGATTCAGAGGAGGGCACCTGTTCTGTATCTGATTTTATGGTGCCAGATGCATTTACTAACAAGGTGGCAATGACAATCCAGTCAAATATCTGAGGAATTCCATAGATTTTAGGCAAAGCAGATATCACACAGCTGTAGCTTACTGTCAGAGAAGGAAAATCTGTTAAACAGCCACAGCAATGCAGTTCTACATTATGCTCCCAGCATTAGCTTAAAATCCTTATGAGTTTTCCTCTCAGAAGCATGGTATAGCAAGGTCTGGCCTTTGATAGCATTTGGGTAAGGGTGGCTGGAGGTAACACATGCAGTTTTACTCTCTGATGAGGCAGTGACCTTATTTCTGACTAAGTACAAACACAATTTATTTATTTATCTATTTATTTATCTGTAAGAAAGCCGAGATATTGCACAGCTTCTCAGAAGCAGAGTTTGAGCCTGTGTGAGATCAAACTCATGCTTGTCGTAAGTCTTCACTAGCAGTGTCAAAAACCACGTGCAGCAGTTCTGCATCTCTGTTTCTCTTTAGGCATCAAAGGGTATATCTTCACCGTAAGATGGCATTGAACTGATAGTGCTGCTAAGAAAAATGTGCCTCTGTCTCAAGGTAATGAAAATATGTGCCAGCAAGAAAAGTTCAAAAAGGAAGTCTGCCCTACTAATCCTTAAGCAGCAATAATACTAACATTAATTTCATTTATCAAGGCAATAGGCCTTTCATTTGTTATACTTAGGGTTATTTATCATCACTGATTTGACAATTAACCAAATATGAGGTAGAAACGGATTGCAGATGAATAGTATTTATCTGAAGGAATAATATTTTCCAAATAAATTAACAACTTTTCAATCTGACTGTCCTGTAAAAGGCAAGTTAGCTGAAAAACAAAGGCGTTTATTCATATGGGGACCTTCTAATTCCAGAGCACGGTCTTGACTTCCTAATTAAGAATATACGCCAAAATAATATCCTTTTTCTTCCTCATAAAAAACAGGCAAACAGAATTCTGCTCAGTTTCAGATTACTTTCTTGGTAAAGGAAGAGCAGTGAGCAAGATGAAGAATTACGTCAGCTCCAGATCCCTGCAAAATACACATAGCTTTTTTCTAAGTGAAGAAATATCAGATGATAATATAAAGATAATCTAATTAACTTTGTGTAAAGGTTGGAAATTGTATACCATGACAAGAACATTAAAAAAAAAAACAAAACCCAAAACATTTACATTGCAGCTGTGGTGAAGAAACTTTTAAAAATTGTCATTGCTGTCAGAGACGATATCTACAGTATTTCCACAGAAAACTGTTGAGAGTAGATACTCTGCCCCTTTGTAAAATGCTTGCTCAACTCTGTTTCAGCAAGCTGAGAGCATTTACAAGGTGTTGCTAAAGAGTATGTTTATTAAGTGGAAACCTGTTTCTACTATGTTATTAAGAGGTTTCCCCAAAGCAAACAGAATTTCAGACTTAGGGGATCAGGGATTTGGACTGATAGTATGTAAACTTCACCTAGCTTATTAGGTGCTCTTCAAACCATATGTCAATGGAATGTAATTTCCTAGGGATTTGCACTAAGGTCAGGCTTTTGACATATGACATCAATAATAAAAACTCCTGTACTCTGCCCCTTCCTTCAATAGGAGAACTTTAATAGCAAATCTCACAGGGGTGCAACGTGTATCCAGAATGTCTGATTAAATAAAATTCTGTTAATGAACTCAGTACAGATTTGCTGTTTCCCCCCTGCTAATCGGTTAGAAAGGTTCATAACTGTTCAATCTTAGCATTTATTAATTGATGTGAAAGGAGAGGGAGGCATTAACTCTCTGTCTCTCATTAATAACGGGTAGTTGGGTCACTCCTCCAGAGGATGAGTGTGCTTGATTTGACTTCTCACATCCAAATCATGGGGCAGAGGGTTTATGCAAACCTAATCCAGCCCCATCTATAATAGCTATTTTAAGCTTTTGCATGTAACAGAACAGCTTAAAGAGGAAAACTTGAGCACTTGACCTAAATATCCTACACCCTTGTGACTGTGAGTGTTTGAGGGAAGCACCACCCTTGGAGATTTTTCCAAGCTCAGCTCTAAATTGACTAAGTTTTTATATTGCAGCTGGGTGTACCAGACAGTGGCCCATCATCTTCAGAGGCACAGAAAAGCAGTACCACCCTATTTGCTATTTTCTATATGAAAATGTTAATGCAATCCCCTCAAAAGAGGGATTTTGGTTAAGTGCTCGCAGAAGATGCCTCCACGTGCATCCAGCCATTGAGTATTTAAGCACTTGGGCTCAGCCCTAAGACTACTCCCAACAGGCTACTGGCTTTCTGGGGCAGCCTCTTGCTCAGCCTCGTGTCTTTGATGCCGTGCAAGCTCTGCCAAGCAGAAAGCCCTGCCTGGTGGGTGGCAGCACACGTAGGAGGAAGGCTGAGTGTAGAACTGCCTTTGCAGCCAGCAATCGGCGTGTACACTGAAAAGCCTACGGCCACAGAAATCAGACAAATTGTTTTACTGTGTAAAGAGCAAACTGCTCTAATTTGTGGTTTCATACAGTCATAAAAAGGCATTCTCAGCAGCCAGCGGGTGTATCTGTAGCTTGCACAGATAGATGACAGGGTAGACCCTGTCATCTGCTCAGCAGACTTGGTTCAGTATATCTTATAGCAATACTAAATCATTGAGAGAGGCCATTGTTCCTCAAAATTGAAGAACATGTTAAAAATTTGTGATGTGTGAACAATTTTTAAAAATCCTCTTCCATCCTACCCCCAAATATCAGCAGTGAATGTGGTGACTCAGAAGCAACCACTACTAAGAAAGGCTATGAAATTTTCTTTTGGGGAGGTTTGTTTCTCTTTTTGGAACAATGGCTACACCTTCCCAGAGATAAAATGTTCTGAAATGGTCAAATGAGCAGTCAGCATGCGTTGTTCAGAGATGACCTTCTATACCTTTCTCCCATTTAAATGGTGGAGGTAGCTAGTTTATCACATGCCTTACTGTATTAAAATAAAGGTTGTTCACAGATGCACTTTTAAGATGACTCCTAAAATTTATTCTTTGCATTTTTAACTTTGTTAACATGATATTTTTACTTCTGCTAGTGCTGATAACAAATCAATTACGCACTGTGCGCAATGTATATCACATAAAGTTAATGAGCAGGAAGTGTGATACAAGCTCTACTTATACCTTTTTTTCTTTGAAAATGGTTAATTACAGAGGAACTGATAGAGATGTTTATATTTAGCTCACTTAACACATTTCAATGCAAAAGATTCCCACGTTTTTTTCTTTGAGAAATTCACTGTTATTCTTCGTAAACCCTTTGAAATTAAGCAAAGAATAACCACTCAGCTGTACCATCATATGTTCTTTGTTCCATGCCTTTTGTGCTATGTGGGGAAGACTGCAACAAAAGGATTTAGCTGCATTTATTCCCCTGAACTGGTGTGCAGAAGCCAAAATTGACCTTCTAGAGAGAAGGTATGGAAAAGGAACATCCCAGTTCCTTGGGGCAGGGATGGGAGAGAAAATGAGGTGGTCTGCAGCCCTTGCAAACTTTTGGATCATAGAAGGTTGTCCTACCACATGGGGCAGAAACCTTTAACTTTTTCGAAGAGAACATAGACTAACTACTGTGAAGTAAAAGCAGAGGAGAAATTGGCTGTGAGGAAGCAGATCTGGGCACACAGACATAACAAAATTCCAACATGGAATTTCCAAATTTAAGTTGAATACTTCCCACTTGTACTTATTTATTTTCAATAGTCTTTATCAACATGAGGAATGCAAAAGCAGGTTGAGAAACATGTTGCCATCCAATAGTTATCTATATAGAGACAAAAAATTATGTTATTTTACAATATTTTGGACAGCATTATGCTAATGCTACTCTTTGCATGAAACACGTAACTTTGTATTCTCATAAACTGGTAAATTGCTGGAACTACTATTTACAAACTGTATTAAATATTTTCAGGTTTTTGGCTTTGCCTGCACAGACACAAAACATGAACCGTTCTTCTATGAACCAACAGAATGACTTGAGTATGAAGCAGTTACACAGCAGAACAAAATGTTCAACTATTGCATTTACAGTAGTCTAAGAAAAGACACTGCAGAGAGTAATTTCATAAAGTACCAAGATTATTTTATATTGCACTGCAGATAAACTTTGCTAAACCAATTTCCCTCTGCAGGTAACAGGAATGCAGGTAGAATTCTTCACTAATGGTATAAAACCCAATTTTTAAACAGTGTTTTTTGGTGTATCCAGCTCATCACAGATGGGATCCAACAATTCCAGAGTAAGAACACTGAACCTGGAATTAAACTCACTGCATTTTCATTTTTCACCTTAATGACTGAATGTAATTTTGCTGGTCTGTATCTTTTCTATATCTTTCTTCTTCAGGTAAAAACCAAGCTTTGTATGTATTTTAGACAAAGACTTTTTAGCTTTGACTGTTGAACTATTTAAAATTGAGTCCTTTTCTTTTTTTTTTTTTTTTTTTCTTTTTAATGATCCCTGAGATTGTAATGTATTTGGACTATTTCTTTCCCTGAAAAGAACCTACTTAGCAGAAATCTAAACCTCACTTACCCTCTTTTTTTTCATAGCAGCTCCCACAATTGACACTCTTTGAGCTTTTTTTTTTTTTTTTTTAATCTCACTTTATATTCCCCTCATCCTGGGGCCCTTGGCATTTTTCCAGCTCCCTGACATAAAGCTGAAGGCTTCTCTGTTTCATACCATCAGGAGACTCCACTGCCACTGCTAGAAATGCACAGTGTCCTAACCACTTCTCATTTTCCTTGGCTGTTCCTGAGCTGAGAGAATCAATATTGGATGGTGCAGAAATAGCTTTTTGCCCATAGCCACTACCTTTGGCAATTGCAACCTGGTGGCACAATGGGTGATTATAAGCTTTTCCCTTCACAGTGAGAAAGCTAACGTATGCTGTTAAGCATACATAAGTTAAGCATTGAGCTGAAAATAGGGAGGTGGCATTTTGGGAGTGACTGGGTTTATTGTGGATATTAAGGTAAGCTTTGGACATGAATAGCGGAGAACCTAGCAGGGACGTGTGAGGATAACGTAACACAGCGAGTTGCTGGTTAAGGAAATGGATGCTGAAGGAAGGAGAAGTCCAGATTTTCTGCTGACACCTAGAGAGACTTACGTGGCCCTGAGCTGTAGGGAACAGCTCTATATATCATCCTGTTGCTGTGTAATATTCTGTCTTGCAGGTCAGGTTTAACAGACTCTCCGAGGATGAGATTCATTTTCATGTCTTTGATTTCTCTACTACCCGTACACCTTATCCTCACCTTACCTCATTCTTCTTTCTCCCT